TAAGAAAGCTGTTTTCATTAAATTACCATGTCATGGAGAAATAAATAGTAGGATTTTATGACAGAGACTGAACTCGGTCACCCCTAGAACCTACTATGCAGTCTGACTTATATTTATTGAGAAAGCCAAAAACATGTTCCACTACAAACCTCAAAAGTGAATAAGTGATTGTGACACACTCCATTTTACATACCAATTCTCATTTGTGTGTGGTCACACATACATAGGGAGGAGTAATCGTGGTTTATATGTGAGGGTGGGAGACTACCAACTTCCGCTATATCTAGGACATCTAATCGATATGAACCACAAAATCGATGTCAAAAACAACTTTTACGCTGAGGCTACAGCTAGCTTTTCATAAACTTAAGACCAAACCCTCCCCACTTCGATTTGTGCTCAAAAGCAATTTATTAATACTCTTAACCCAACTTGGTTATCTACGATCTTGAACTTTTAGTCAAACGTAATCACTAAAATTCTGATGAAAAGTACACTCTGTTTGAAGTGTTTAATATTTTTAAGTCTGAGGTCAAATTTTAATCACAGCTCAGACCATTTTGTTTGTTTTTATTATATTTTGATGACTGTTTCATAACTCATATGATTGGATAAAGTTTTCAAAAATAAGAGATGTCCTTTTTATATATGAATTTAATTTCGATTAATTTCCCTGAAGAAGTTCGGACCAATTTGCCAAACGAAACGATGGAATTACGCATTTCAGTTCCGCTGAGATTTTAGAAATATAACTTTTATAAATGTCTACTTCTCAATCGGCGCCCAAATATTTTGGAACTATTCTGTCAAATCTTGATCACAGTTCACATGAATTACCTTGATAATCCTTATGCAACTAGATAACCAAATGTATTGCTAATTATTCTTATTATTCTTAAATCCTTTCCGTCACTTTGTCTACTTTAATTAGCCCTTATTTTTCATGTAAACTGACTTGACAAGTAACTTGATATGATTATGAGCAATAGTTTGTGTTCGAAATGTCATCAGTTAATATTACTGTACAACACTGTGTGATTGATCAAAATAATATCTTATCCATAATGGAGTTGACAAGTAAATGTTTGACCAGATTGATCGAAATGTATTGCTCAATATATCACATTTCACAGATAATCTTCGTCTTCTAAAAACACGATCCAAACTATTATTTCTATTTGTCACCCATGAACTTACATCTGATTTGTTTCCCTGTAGTATTCATATTATTTCACATTGTATTGACTGCAACGTCCCCTTGAATCCTGTACTTTTGTTCACTATATATATACATATATATGCACATTGATTTTATCTCATGTTCTTACTGACAGTAAGTGTTTTGTACACAGTTAGTGATAATCAAAACTAAGTGACTACTATTATTCCATCTTCTCTACTTGTACCACACTACACTTTCTGATATAATTCTATTTCACGCTTTTACCTACCTGGGAAGCATCGTTTCAACTACAGGCAGACAGAACTAACGAGGATATCAAAGCAAGAATCGGAAAAGCAAGACAAGCTTTCACTACTCTCAAGTCTGTGTGGAGGTCAACAACACTCAGCATCAAAAATAAGATCCAGATTTCCAACTCCAATGTGAAGTCAGTGCTACTATACGGATCAGAGACTTGGCCAGCGCGTCATAAAGAGCATCTCAAACAAACTACAGACCTTCATTAACAGTTGTCTTCGCTCAATACCACTCAAGATCAGATGGCCGGCCAGAAAAGATCAGCAACAGAGTTGGATCTCTGGGAGCGAACCAACCCAGCAGGAACCGATTGTGAAACAAATAGGCAGGAATAAATGGAGATGGATTGCAGGCCATACTCTGAGGAAACCATCAAGTGACATCACCAGACAAGCCATTGCTTGAGTGGAACGCAAAAGGGAAGTGTGAGTTGGTCGTTAGTGCAAGGGTGACTTGGAGGAGGTCATGTGAAGAAGAGATGAAAACGTGTGGGCAGACTTAAAGCCAGGTGAAGACTCTAGCAGAGAACGGAACGCAATGGAGATGCACTGCTGAAGCCCTATGTTCCTGTAGGAATTAAAGGATACAATAATAATAAATAATAATAATAATGACGCTTATTCGTTATTGTATACGGACAAGGATGAATGGATTTATAAGTGTAGAGTCTGAAGATGTACTACAGTTGTTCGCTCTCATTATTCTTGCTGTGAATAAATTATGGCGATATTCAAATTACAGTATACCATTATGCAAACCAAACTGTTGGAGTTATTAAGCCAGAAGACTCAAGTGGGCGAACCTAACTCTTATCAAGACTTAAGTATTGTAGTACATTAGAGCCGGCAAGATAAAGCGATCGGAATGCTAACCGACTAAATAACAAGGTGAAAGATGTTGATTCTTGGCTGAATAATATCTAATAAATACTACTTTGAATAGTAGATTCTATTTCTGAAAATCATCTTACCGACATTGTTGACTGGACGCATATTTTTCCATTTCTCTGATCGAAATGGGATTTTTATACCACAGTATTGTGCAATTTACTCTTGGTAATAGTTTAATATTAATCCTAGGTTTAAGTATAATCCCAGCTTCCCAGACCAACACTGCCCATCTTAGTATATTACGCAGAGATGGGATGACTATTTTCATTTTCTTGTAGATGTTTATTATTTTTATAAAAAGGAGTCGTCAACCTACTTATAGTGCTAAGCTTAGTGACACATAATTCTTTTTTTTTGTTTTACGCAGCCTAGATCCTTATGACGTATCAATCATGTTCAGGTTTAAAAATGTGCAGATACTTCGTGTCATCTTCTTACAAAAATTCTTGATGCATCATTTTACAGAGACACAGTACTTAATCTTTGAAAAGAAATAAAGATAGTAACCGCACTGAAATCTTCGCCTTCGGGATCCAGTTTTAGGTTCAGACTAACCGTCATCATCTTACCATCTCCTTAAAATCTCACTAAAATTTTTCAGTGACCCTAAACTATTTACTTATGAAATTAGTAGAAGTAATTTAGATACTGTCATTATATCGTATCATGACATTGTTTCCAGACTAGATAAAGATGTGAAGTTTGTGTTCTGTCTGACTTTTCCGACTTTTCTGAGATGCTTTCGATTGCATCATAAGAATACATCTATCTGTTAAGCAAAACTGACTTCATTTCGTACTGAATTCTGCATCACAAGGAGCAATACACTGTCTCTAACGGGAAGCGTTGCACTTCTTTGCCTACAGAAGTTGGTATACCTTATTTAAGTGATGTACTTTATCGATTCTTTTTTTTTCTTTTCTTTATTTCTGCGTGACTTACCGTATATTCCAACAAAACTCATTTCATTGGCATAATTTCTGTCCTAGCTGACTCTGTATTAGAAGAATGTTCTGACGTGAATAATTTCTTGTCTGAGATTAATCAGTGGTGTTAAACTGAACCCCTCCAAATGTTAAACATCTAATTTTATTTTCAATAGTGAACAAGGTATGAGTAAACTGCTTCACTCCCATGATTCTTGTAGTATCGACTACACCACACCGTCACTGAATATAAGACGAATAACACCTATCTCAGTTTATATATATACATATGGTTACGTCCCCTGAGCTGGGCGATTTATTGAGTAGCTTTCATTGCCCATCTAGACGACATTTTCACTGCAGGCTTCAGTTTGCAGTGAATTTATTTGATTTTTTTCATGAATGACATAATTGTGTCTCATCTGATAACCTTTGTTGTGATTAATTGTTAATTTGAGTCCGCGGTGATAGGTTATATTGACTTGGAATTTGTCATGTGATATATTATTACCATTATTATTAGTTGGCAAATGAGGCATTATATTAATGTATCTGTTAATGAACATAGAGAAAACAGAGATAATGAAGATTCCTGGGCAACACCACCAACAACAGGCAACAATCAGCATAAATGGGAGGAATCTGAAAGAAACAACCACTTTTACCTACCTGGGAAGCATCGTTTCAACTACAGGCCAGCGGAACTGACGAGGATATCAAAGCAAGAATCGGAAAAGCAAGACAAGCTTTCACTACTCTCAAGTCTGTGTGGAGGTCAACAACACTCAGCATCAAAAATAAGATCCGGATTTTCAACTCCAATGTGAAGTCAGTGCTACTATACGGATCAGAGACTTGGCCAGCGCGTCATAAAGAGCATCTCAAACAAACTACAGACCTTCATTAACAGTTGTCTTCGCTCAATACCACTCAAGATCAGATGGCCGGCCAGAAAAGATCAGCAACAGAGTTGGATCTCTGGGAGCGAACCAACCCAGCAGGAACCGATTGTGAAACAAATAGGCAGGAAGAAATGGAGATGGATTGCAGGCCATACTCTGAGGAAACCATCAAGTGACATCACTAGACAAGCCATTGCTTGAGTGGAACCCGAAAGGGAAGCGGCGAGTTGGTCGTCAGTGCGAGGGTGGGTGACTTGGAGGAGGTCATGTGAAGAAGAGATGAAAACGTGTGGGCAGACTTGGAGCCAGGTGAAGAGTCTAGCAGAGAACAGAACGCAATGGAGACGCACGGCTGAAGCCCTATGTTCCTCTAGGAATTAAAGGAAACAATAATAATAATAATCTGTTAATCGCTAGTCTATCTGAGTAATAAACAGGCTTCTAGAATGTTCCTGGCATTTTCAGTGTCTCCATTGTTTAAAATTCCTACATTTTCTTCCCGGTCAAATTGGTGTGTCTGTAATTCTTGGCATACATTGATATGAATCGGGAATATGCGTCGTCACTTTTGTCAGCTGGTTTATGGTATCGGATTTGGAGTCGAAACGGATGCTCCCAGTTTAACTGATATACAAAGCTTATCACAAGTGTTTCAGTTTGTTTTGTAGGTGGTGTTGATCTTATCTTTTGCTTATACATTTATATACGACAAAATTATTATTAATAGTTAGTATTGACACAACAGACTATTTTTTATTACTCAGCTTTACAATTCAAAGAGAGGAAAAGCAATAGAAGTGCAGTGTGTGTACGTGTATAGGAAGACGTATTATATTATATATATTTGGTACATCTCATAGGGACTGTATATGTATATATGACTTGTTTATGAAGCTTATAGTGTTATATCCCACTGAAACATAACTATTATTTGAGTAACGCTTAAAAATAGCAAAAACAAACAAAATGTACAACAACTTGATAAAGATGAAAGACTTATACTCCGGTCAAAACGTCTGCATAATTCTGATTGTAGTCCTCTGCTGCATTTGTTCTACTTCCTGTCAATAAATTTGAATAAAAATTCGAATAAATGCGTTATTTTTTAATAAGGTAATAGGGCAGAAGACATGCGCTAAACACTATAAGCAGTGTAAATTAAATTGAATAAACAATATTTTGCATTTTGTAACACACAGCAATGAAAATAAAACTAAGTTTGTTATTTTTAAATAAAAATAATATCTCAATCTTCACGTTTGCTATAATTATTGCCACAGGCATCAATTCCTAAAAGTATAAGCGTAATAGTCACAGTACTCATTATTTGCTGTCTAAATCCATTTGTACGACACAGGTTGAATGGGTGTAGTCTCTGCAGAATCTAAAAGTCAACTGTCTGAAATAACAGCTGCTCTTTGAAATGTCTCTCTAAATTATTTCCATAGAAGAATATTGTAAACAGTAGACGGTGACGTGGCCTACTTCACAGTCGCAAAAGACCCCTGACTGAAAGAACTTTGAATTTACAAAAGTCGTTAATAGACACAAATAGTTTACATTATCTTAGGAAATCATTATTTTGAGATACAAAACTGTTGTATTCACAGTCAGTTGAACATCCACAAATTCTGAAAAGTCGTCGTCGGGAATCCACTGGTCTAAATGATATTAACTGATATGTGTGATGAGATAATATCTGGCAGCCTGCTTAAAACACTGGGCTATCTAAATTTTTATCTGGTATCATTCTACATAGACTCTTCTCCATTTCTTCTTATTGTTTTAATCATCTAACTGTGCGTGTTTTCGGATAGCTAGATGAACTCGCACACAATTTTAGTTTGTTGTACTACAGAGCACTTTTCAACAGAAATGAAGAAAACTATCATGGAGATTTGGATATTGCTACAGATGGAACAACACATTAAAATTAGACTAAGGTATTTATTCACAATTACTATTAGTGTGCATCAGTAGTTCAATGGTAGAGTGTCAGCCAAACACACAAATGGCCCGGGGTTCGATTCCCGGCCGATCCATCCCTAAACCACGCCTAGTTTACTGACCGATAGTAAGCCTGGAGAAGAGGAAAGAGGTTGGGCGTTAGGTTGGCAACCTCATCCTGTAGAAATAGCACCACTACTACTAAAAATTTGAAGCTCAAATCCCTATATTCCATTCTGAAGGCAAAGGAATGAAAAGTAATAACAGTAAACTTACTGTATTCCTGTTATTTTTTAGTATTTTTAATATATTTATGCGTTGAAGTTTCTGCAGCAATTTGGTTAGCTTTTGGGGGTGGAGCTGCTAGCACCCAACCCTCCCTCTTTATCCGGGCTTGGGACCCGCTAGAAAGCTAGCGAGCTAGTAATCTAGGCACGAAACCTAGAAGACCTGCATTTCGCGCGTGGATGATTTATGTTTGATGTCACAGAAAATCGAAGACTCACAAGCGAAAACCGACAAACTGGTCGAAGAAGCAGAAAACAAAGGACTCCAGGTGAACATAGACAAGACGGAGGTTATGAAAATAACCAATCAACAACAACAACAATATCCAGCGCCAATCACCATCAACGGGAGTGATTTGAAAGAGGTTACTTCATTCACTTATCTAGGGAGCATTGTCTCAACTACAGGAGGAACGGACGAGGATGTCAAATCCAGAATCGGGAAGGCGAGAAACACATTCATCAACCTGAAACCAATCTGGAAATCTTCGTCACTCAGCCTGCATCAGCAACAAAATTCGGATTTTCAATACAAATATCAAGTCAGTCAGTTCTTCTATACGGATCAAAAACTTGGCGGTGGGTGACAAAGAATATTTCCAACAGGTGTCAGACCCTTATCAACAGCTGTCTTCGCTGTATACTGAAGATCAGATGGCCGGAAAGAATCACCAACAATAAACTATGAGAACAAACAAAACAAGAACCAATCGCTTAACAAATGTGCAGGAGAAAGTGGAGATGGATTGGACACTCGCTGAGGAGGCCGCTGGGTGACATCGCGCGTCGGGCCATCGCTCGATTGGAACCCGAAAGGGAAGCGGCGAGTGGGACGTCCAAAGGTGACATGGAGGAGATCGTGTGAAGAAGAGTTGAAACAGTATGGATTAACATGGATGCAGGTGAAAAATACAGCAGAAGACAGAAACAAGTGGAGACGTGCAGTTGAAGCCCTATGTTCCACTAGGAACCCAAGGGAACGATAATATGAATAATAATTCCTGTCATTTTACAAAAAATCTAAAATTCTGCCAATTGAACAATTAACAGCATTTGTAATCAAGCAGTTGGAATAATGCTACCAGGAAAAATACTTGGAAGCTATGCTGCTTTAGCCTGTTTTGAAATTAATAGATTCCGTATCATTATATACACAAAAAGCCTTTGAACTTTCAGCTTACATGTTATAATATGAATATCCCCCTTTTCTTTAACTATTTTGAACGATTTCACTACAAATAATATAATCTCACAGCTGTTCAATGTTAACAGTTGAGGTGATCTGTTGATTCTCTATTTATCAAGTGATGGTTTGCAGGGATTTGATTGGTTAAAGGTTTTATCACTAGTTGATATCAGCTAGATTCTCTGTTTATCCGTATTTATCCAATTCTACCCAAATATGTACTAACAGTTACAATCCAATCTGAAGTTGACTTACGCCTACATTTACTTATGGAAAATGCATAATCTGAATGAATAAATTTCACTTCAGAGCTGATCATAACCATTCGATACTGTTATTACCTTGAGTACTGGCATATTACCATTCAATTTGAATGGGAACTGAAACATTTGAATGTGACCACTTTTGTGTTGCATTAAACATGCCTCTTTTCTGTGTACAAGACGATATGCAATTGTCCTTGATTCTTAGTGAATGAAAACAGGGTAGGCATTCTTTAAAATGTAATGCAGTAGATTAACATTAGCAAAACTCGTTTGTCTTAACTGCTTTCAATGAAGTTATATATCGCTGCATAGTGATCTGAATATTCAGGTTCACCAAATTGATAAAAAGTCAAGGTATTCTTCGCGTCTCACTTGAAAAGTCGGTAAACTAAGCGATGAGAAATGTTGTATCCAAGTTATAAACATCAATAATATTTTCATTTTAAAGGACAATTAATCACTTTAGGTAAATTTCGATAGCGTTATTAAAAGTTATTTAAAGTACCTAGCAGACAACTAATTTATATGATTATTTGTCCTACAATAATCAATAAGAAAATAGAAAAATCGAAGGTTGGTGGAAATGAACAAAAAATAGATTGAAAAGTGAAATGGATAACAATTGACACCAATCTTGGTAATATAATCCAGTATGTATTATGAAGGTAGGTTAAGTGCGATATTAAATCATTTTTTGTGCACAAAAACACACATAAAAAAGGAATTAATTTTCGAAGAAGCTACTATTACATTATTATCATTCTGTTGGCTAACTTAACATTGGTGTTGAAAATCCGGATTTAGTTCTTTATGCTGAAGTGGAATGCACAAAATTCTCAAACTGATTTGAGAGTGATGAAGTTCTGTCTTACCTCCTCCAATCGTGGTTTTGACATCATCATCATCACCATCAACCGTGTCGCCTGTAATTGAAACGACACCTCCTAGATAAGTGAAGCAAGTGACCTCTTTCGAAATTCTCCTGTTGGCAGTGATCGGTGCTTGTTGTTGTGGTTGCTGTTTCTGTTGTTGCTGCTGCTGTTTGTTGGTTATCTTCATCACTTCCATCTTCTTTATGTTCACTTGAAGTGTTGTCTTAGCTATCCGGCTTCTTTTATCAGTTTGTCGGTTTTCGCCTGTAACTCCTCGAGTTTGTGTGTGTGTGTATCGCAGTGCACATAAATCATCCACACGTGAAATCCAGATCTTCTGGAGTCTTCTTATCGTTGGTGCAGCATATTCCTGTCTTCTTGTTCCTTGTGGATAGTCTGACGCATGATGCAGTTCTCCACAATTAGGAATACCATAGGTGATAGTAAGCAGCCTTCAGTATATTTCATAACTCTCCTTTGGAAGTTTTAAACAAAATTTAGAAGGCTGTTCCCAATAGGGCGTTGTGCCTTATGCCTGCAAATTGTCTTATTATGGGCGAAAATGCTAGTCTATGGACCGCAATTACCATGGCTTTTTCAAGCCATTTAAGTAAATATTCTCTCAAATATTTTAATACCTAGTGAAGTTATGTTTTCTGATGTGAATGGTTTATTTGGAGAGCTTTCATTGTCTTCCTAGGCGACATCTTTTGTGTAGACTTCCATATTCAGTGTCTACATCTTATCACCAATTTCACTGAATATTTGTTTGTTCAAAATTGGTACAATAATGCTCATATTAATGTCATGGTACCTCACGACACAATAAGAAAAACCCTTACCATCTTAGTTTTCTTCCATTACACCCATTTCTCCACCAGACTGAAAAATTTGCTTGACTTGTCGGTCTCAAATACTCAATAGCGTTGGCCAGTAAACAGAATTCACACTCTGGTTTCGATGACCACATACTCACAACACCTTTGTCGTGCCAAGCAAAATATTCGTTGTAGGCAGTATCATTCTTATCAAGATACTTTAAATATTCAGCCAACTCTTTGGGACTATCAAATTCGTCGACGTGAATAAAAGAATGAGGTGGTGCAACTTTTTGATACTCTTCAATTGAAGCTCCCATTACAATAGGCAGAACATTGTTCCTGTATTAACAAAAATGGAAACATCGTTTGAGCAATTCAACTGACAAAATACACTTTACAATTAAATTTGTTAAAACTATAATTTCCATTTGCTTTTTTCTAGCAGTAAGCATCATCATACCGCTCAATTTAATCTAACTTTGAACACTTTGTTTCAATAAATTCTTATGAATACAGGTTGGAGGATTTCATCATAAGCTGACATGAAGACAACCAGTTTTGTTTTTATTCCTTTACTTTCCCAGTGGAACATAAGGCTTCAAGCTACAGGCTTGAACTTTCAGCAGCAGTGTTATTTATTTTTTAGGGATGGGGTTGCTAGCCTCATGTCCAACCTTCCGTCTTTGCCAGTCTTATAACTGGCTTAGCGAGGTAAAGGAGTGTATCGGCCAGGGATTGAACCCCGGACCACATGGGTGATCAGCGAGCGTTCTACTGTCGTGCCACCGACACACGAAGATAAAAAATGATATATATTAATGCCAGTAAACAGTTTGATCATTGTGGAATAGATCAAATAAATTATAATTATATGTCAATAGTTTTTTGGTAATATTTCGAGCAAAACTACTACTCATTATAGCACCAACTGTTGGAATTGTTTTGTTTTTAATTCACACATTTATGATTTGTACTCTCTTTTGTCCATTCATTTTGGTGTATTCAGAATTATATTCCAGGCTGTTGACAGTTATACTGAGTCACCCTTGTTACATGTATGCAGCGTGGCTGAATGGTATACGAGCTTGCCTTGTAACCAGAAGGTCCTGGGATGGGAACCTAGTGGGTTCGTAATGTCGATGATTCCCGAACTAGGATGAAACAACTTTTCACTACTCCCTGGTTTTCAATAGTTCTCTAACTGGCATCAATCCATGACTTAGCCTGAAGCAAATACAATCTCTGCAAACTAATTCTTGAAAAATATAGGTTATGCAATTAGTCTCTCTTCCCATATTTTCCTATTACATTTCACAATACAAACATTGTTCCAATCAATATAGTGGTTTTTGTTCAATGCATGTGCAGCTATAGATGAAGTTGTTTTCTAAATTATTGTAACCTTGTGTTCCTGTGGGATGGCGTTAAGTTAGGCGTTTATGTTCATTCACTGAGTCTGGACGTTTGGCCCACCATATTTAGTTGGACAGTCAGCACAAGATATTTTGTAAATTACATTGTTTTTATCCATTATTTTTCTGGGATATTTCAGTTGATTTATTTTATTTGTAATTAGACTCGTTGGTTTAAACGCGGTGATAAGTAATTTAAAGCCATCAGAGACAAATTCATTACAAACGCTAGCAGTTAACCAACCTAAGTAGAAAGTAAATAATGTGAAAATTACCGCTGAAATTAACCGATATGAGAGGCTAGGCTATTATTCAAATGCATTATAATAAATGTGTGCAAATAATGGTTCACTCATTAACCTATGTGTGTTTTGAATGGACTATTTTCATGAAAACACAAGTAGTTCTAATTCGACCATCTGTTCTACGCTATTTGAGATAATAAGTTTAGCTTTAACTGACTGTACACTTGTTTGTTAGTTTACTTTGTATTTCACAATGTCTTTAATTAAGTAATAAAGGTTGCACATCAATGTGTAGGCATCCATTAAAATATTTTTCTGATTGGTTTATAAGATCCATCATGGAAACAACTATACCAGAATACCACAAAAATGCACTGTCTCTTGGCTCACTTATAAAATAAAAACCGAAAACATGATCGATATATATTTTTTTTCATGAATATTTATGACTGGATAGAGAACAGCATTGGTTGTGAATAGCCATCATGTATTTATGCTTTTCGTTTGGTTAATTCAGAAGTATTCACCACTTAATTACGCAGCCTCGCCTAGTTTTCTAGCCTTTTCCGAGACCGGGTAAAGAGAGAGGGTTGGGTGTGCAGCTGCCGTCCCTATCCCAGAAAATCATTCAAATCGTTACAGAAAAATTCAAAGCACAACGGAAATATTAAAAACAAACTTATCCTTCGCTGTAATCGAAGAGGCGAAATGACACAGTGGGCTGGCGTAAGCCTTCGGGAAGCCAGTCAGCCAGCCAATGTGTCTTCTCTCGATGAAAGCAAGAATAAGAATGGGGACGTGGAATGTCCGCACTATGTAAGAAGCTGGTTGGGAAGGCTAACCAGGTAGCCGAACAAATGCGAAGATATGGCATAGAAGTGCTGAGAATTGGCAGAGCACATGGAATTGATATGGATTATCGAAATTATCAACTAGAAAGTCACTAATCTACTCCGATCTGGTCACCCAGACGGCAACCACGAACGCGCTGAGGTAGTGAGTGGCTATCATGTCAGGCAAAGCTCTATTGCAGCTATAATTCAGTCTCTCCAAGGACTATGACAGCGAGATTCAACTGAAAATGAAGGAAGGAAGCAAGTTTAAAATAATCCAACGCTACACACAACGAGGAACGAGTGAAGAAGGAATAATTTTACAGACAAATACAAAGAGTTATGGACAACATCCAGAATGGTGACATAAAAATCCTTATATGAATGCCAGACAAACTGGGAGCAGATGAAAAAAGAAGATAATCCATCATGGATCAAGAGGCTCTTGCTCAGGCAAAATAAATGAGAACAAAGAACTCTTTGCAGACTTCTGCACTTTCAGTGATTTGGTAGTCAGAGAGAGTGTGTAGAAGCACGAGGATATACACAAAGCCAGTGAAGTGGATTTCACCTGATGGACACACCACAAACCAGATAGACTTCATCTCAGTGCTGCTCAAGGAAGTGGAGACCCAGCTAGCCTGCTAGACACAAAGTCGAGAAGGGGAGCAGATGTTACCTCAGAAGATCATCTAGTTCAGGGAACCATCGAGGTCTATCTGAAAGACCCATAAGCAACTGGAGACAGGCCATTGTAATTCAAGTTCAACATTCAAAAACTGAAAGACAAAACTACAAAAGACACCTTCACTGTAGTTATAAGAACAGTGTCGGAGACACTGCGTGGTATCACTGAGGACACCTGTGTGGAAGATCACTGGAACAAACTCTCTGAATGTGATGTCCAAGGGAACGTGTACTACTGTTCTAGGGAGAAAGAAGAGACACGACAAGGAATGGCTGTCAACGAACACCTACCTAGGAGCTAAGAGAAGCGAGGAGAGTAGGATGGTGAAAGAGAAGATGGTTGAATGAAAAGATGGATTAGAGAACAGAAGAAGTTGAGTTCAATGTACACTGCACTGAATAAAGAAAGAAGTGAAAAAGAATGCTGAGAAAGACAAAAGACAATTCTACGACACATTGGCTGGTGACTGAAGCAGAACAGGCAGGCAGGCTGTAGTTAAGAGAGACATCAGAAAACTACATGAGATAATCAGTTCTCTATCCGGTAAGATATCAACGGAGGTGAAAGTTATAAAAGATGTGTCAAGGGAACCTGATTACCAAGGAGTAGAAACAAGTAAAAGAATGAATGGGGTGATCACTTCAAAGGACTGTTGAATCGACCATCACCTGCAACTCACCCAGAATTACAACACCATCAACATCACACACAGAACTACCTGTCTGTGTACACCAATCCACCAACAGAAGAAGGAATATTGAATGAAATCAAGCTACTGCAAACCAGCCAAGGAGACAGAAGGACCAGATTGAATTCCCGCTGACTCACCTGAGACTGCAGAAAATACGCTAACGCCATTATTGCAACAAGTTTAAAAGAGAGGAGAGGTGCTTACAGGCTACCTTGTCAAGCTACCAGAGGAGGGCGACTAACGCCTCTCCAAGAAGCGGCATGGAGAGTAATGCTCTTCTACACGCCAGGTTAAGTACTAAGTAGCGTCTTTCTGGAGAGACAAGAAAATGTGCTGGATACAGAAATCTGCCCTCCCGAATAGGTGGATTCAGAAAAGGCAATTCAATTTAGGATCGAATTGTAACTCGTCATCGAACGAAGCGTAGAATGGCAGTCAGACATCTAACTACCTCAACTTCCTTCATCGACTTCGAAAATGCCTTCACCAGACAGTGTTGATCGAGAAACAAATTGGAAACTACTTCAACAATACGCAGTGCAGTGCCCAAGTTTTAATCACCCTCATTCAGCAACTGGCTAAATGAAAATGCCAAGTGTAGGGTGATCCACTACTGGAAACTCAGCGAGGTGTTCAAACTAAATAGAGGAGTAAGACAACGCTGTGTCCATATTATCACCAATGATACTTCTCATAGTGGAGAACTGCATCATGCGTCAGACTATCCAAAAGGAACAAGAAGACAAGAATATGCTGCACCAACAATAGGAAGACTCCAGAAGATCTGGATTTCACGTGTGTGCATGATTTATGTGCACTGCGATACACACACACACAAACTCGATGAGTTACAGGCGAAAACCGACAAACTGATAAAAGAAGTCGGGTAGCTAAGACAACACTTCAAGTGAACATAGAGAAGATGGAAGTGATGAAGATAACCAACAAACAGCAGCAACAGCAGCAGCAATGACAGGAACAGCAATCACAACAACAACAAGCACCAATCACCGCCAACGGGAGAAATTCGGAAGAGGTCACTTGCTTCACGCATCTAGGAGGTGTTGTTTAAACTACAGGCGACACGGTTGATGGTGGTGGTGATGATGATGAAGATGTCACAACCAGGATTGGAGAAGGTAACACCCGTATTGGATGTGTACTGCGGATCAGTCTCAAACTAAGGGAAAACAGCTGTCCAGTACTCCCTGGTATTCAACGGTTCTCTAACTAATATCAATCTGTGGTCAAAATTGAAACAAATCAAATATGTTTCAGACCAGGAGATTTTTTCAAACATTATTGAAAAATTTGACGATTAATTGATTCGATAATTATTTGTTTATTAGGTCCATCACACAGCAAAACAGCATTGTTTACTGGATGACGTTACGAAAAAAATTTATTGTTTATAATCATAACAATTATTGTTATTCGAAATGTCACCCAGTAAACAATACTGTTTCACTCATTCTGTGATATATCTAATAAACAAATTAATATGGAATTGTATTCTACCACAGTCCCTAAGTTTTACACATATTAAGTTGATGGCAGACTAGAAAATTATATATGTATATCGGAATTTTTTAAAAAGCACATATATTTTGGATGGTGGTGACCGGCAGTGGAATGTAGAATGCGCACTTCATCTTATTTGGCATTCAGCAGTCAGCCCTATGTATCTGCATTCCCAGGGAGTGATGGCTTTTCCACTGATGAGTCCCAAATCAGGACGAAATGTGATATGGGTTCCAGTGTAGTCACTATCAACCAAAATATTATTTTACATTGTTTCCTTGGATTCTGGGTAGAAAATAGGGTTTCAACAGCTAATCTGTATTTTTTTTCCTATTATCCTCATTGCTCTTAAGCTGGCCACGCGATTGCCCATTAGCTTTCATCCCCTCCTCACACGATTTCCTCCAGGTCATCCTTGAAAATCCGGATTTAGTTCTTTATGCTGAAGTGGAATGCACACGAAATTCTCAAACTGATTTCAGAGTGATGAAGGTCTGTCTTACCTTCTCCAATCCTGGTTTTGACATCTTCATCATCATCACCACCACCATCATCCGTGTCGCCTGTAGTTGAAACGACACCTCCTGGATACGTGAAGCAAGTGACCTCTTTCGAATTTCTCCCGTTGGCAGTGATTGGTGCTTGTTGTTGTTGTTGTTGTGATTGCTGTTCCTGTCGTTGCTGCTGCTGTTGCTGCTGTTTGTTGGTTATCTTCATCACTTCCATCTTCTCTATGTTCACTTGAAGTGTTGTCTTAGCTACCCGGCTTCTTTTATCAGTTTGTCGGTTTTCGCCTGTAACTCATCGAGTTTGTGTGTGTGTGTGTATCGCAGTGCACATAAATCATGCACACACGTGAAATCCAGATCTTCTGGAGTTCCCTTATAGTCAACGGAAATAACTCCTCATTAACCCTTTTGCGCTATCTCAACCTCCGTCCTAGTATTCGATATATGACTACAGAGACCACTTCACATAATCAGTTAAGGGAAATTAGGAAAAACTGACCTCAAGAACGTTTATGAAATTTCTTTCTTGAGTCAATTAGCACACTTGCCAAAAGGAATAATGTTAGTAATCAAAGAGATTAACACATAAATCTATTTAAAATTGAATGACAGAATTTTAATTTAACCTTAATAATAATAATAATTCAAATGGTTTTTCATAAATAAATAAATAATGCTTACATTAAAGCGTTGGAGAAGAACTTCTCGGTTATATAATCCTTACATAGTGAATTTTCAAAACTTAAATAAAATTTATAATGTTTGCGTAGCATAATAAAACAATTCGTTGAACCACAGGAAAATCGACCACAACCACCATACACGTCAACCTGATAAATGAAATTATAGTACTGTTAGCGCTTCTCTTTTTTAGTCACAGAAGTTCATTTACTAAAAAGTAAAAAGATAATTAAATACTGTTCATAAAAGTATTGTTATATGTCAACTTAAATATAAGTCAGAACTTACTAATATTGTGTAATAACATATCACCAAGGCAACGACTAGACACATCACACTAGTTACTAGTGTCCAATCAAAGTATCCACTACAGTCCTACAGGAGGTCAGTCGCGAGACCGAATAGCTCAGTGGTAATTTCTCTGACTGCAGCACTAGGTGACGCAGCTTTGAATCTCAGAAGGGACATGAGTTCCTTCAAGGTTGTAGATACGTCTTGCTGACTGGTGAGCGTCAACTAGCACGAAACCTAGGTCAAGCAAGGCTTCCTGACGATTGCCTCCAACCATCTAATATCATCAATTCAATTTGCACCGTGATGGCGGGCTACCTAGAATGGTGGCCACATCGCAAACCTGACCGATAGAATTCAGTCTGCACCAAACAAAGGACTAGACACATCACACTAGTTACTAGTGTCCTATCAGAACATATCGTAGGTAATAAAAAGGCAGTTTCAGCAAAGAAAATTTTCTTTTCGACGAAGTCATCATCTAGGCTGTACATTCGTGTATTTATATCAAATGGATGGGAAAGTTCCAGAATAATTTCCGGTTAAGGGTCAAATTAATAAAAATTACAATTAGGAATTAGAATACCATAATAAACAGAGGGACGGGTAAAACTCAAACAAATAACATAATAACTAAGAAGATTGACATACTTTCATATCCACACTTCCTGTTTATTTTGTCATTTTACTATTTCTACATATTGAATCCCTGATTGCATAAACAATTATTCATCACACTAGTTTTTTATCCAAACATCCTGTATATTTTGTTATTTCTACATTCCTAACCCCCAATTACACAATGTCAATCTTCTTAGTTATTATGCTACTTTGTTTGAGTTTTACCCATCCCCCTGTTTATTATGGCATTCTAATTCCTAATTGTAATTTTTATTAATTTGACCCTTAACCGGAAATTATTCTGGAACTTTCCCATCCATTTGATATAAATACACGAATGTACAGCCTAGATGATGACTTCGTCGAAAGGAAACTTTTCTTCGCTGAAACTGTCTTTTTATTACCTATGATCAAAACATATCACTTATATTAGCATTAATTGAAACCCAATAATCCTATGACTGATTTGTTCAAAAATTTCTCTTTTTCTCTTACTGTTTGAAGTTCCGTTTTTTCATGAGTTTTTCGTCAACTATGAAACAGTTCAGTGATTGTATGCAATTTAAAGCTGTCCCCTACTTCTATGCTTTGTCTATCTAAACTAGGCAATAACTTCTACTATACAATCTTCGATTAAGTTGAGTTATTTTGAATAAAATTTATAGTAATAATAACTTCTTATGCATACATGACTTTTTATTAATGGTCTACTTGTAGGACTAAAGTGACTTCAGGAACTTATAAGTAAACTACAACAACTTTAAAAGTTCTACATCCATTCAGCTGTAGATTACTGTCTCTCTCACGTGGTCCGGAGTTGGATCCCTGACCGACAAACTCCTTAACCTTACTGCTTAGCCAGTATTAAGCCAAGTAGAGAGGAGAGGTAATAAAAAACACCGCTGCTACTGAAACTTCGGAGTTCAAGCCAGAAGCCTAATGTTCCACTTGTAAGGCAAAGTAATAATATCCGTTGTCAGAATGGTGATTTACTGAAAATAAGAAAAAATAAACAATTCTACTTCTTTTACGATGTTTGCGACAACCAGCTTAAGGGCTGCATAACGATTTCATTGACATATTCAATATAGTCCTGCTCTCATTATGGAAATTATGGAAACTGTTTCATCAAAAAAAATAACCATCTTGTGGTGTTTGTTCAGCCTTCAATCGGTTGCATACGAAATTTCTGATAAATGTAATGTAACATTACTTGTTTTGAATGACTTCGCCTCATTCATTGTTCTCCATATATTTTGACTAATTCAGTACTTCAGGGAGAGGGAGAGAGAGAGAGTTCTAGCACAGAACTGTTGTATGTCATCAGGCAGTTGATATTTTAGGAAGTAGGTAGTAGTAGTAGTAGTCAACAGGTTAAATATTTTAAATAAAATATTTGGTCGTGAAGTTTGTCTGAGTGTTAGTAACAATGTAATTGTATTGCACAATTCTCCAGTTCAATTTTAATAATGATGATTCTTCGTTGAAAGTCTGCTGGCCTAAATCTTCACTTTCAAATGGCACATAACAGGTTCAACCTTGTCTCAGTCAGTAGGGTTTGAGAAGTCACAAAACTTGTTGTAGAGAACCTCATTTAGCTGATGAGGAATATACGAATGGACATCATATTATAATAATCACAGCATTTGCCGTCTACACTGCCAGAAAACAAAGCACTCTGTGTGCAGTATAAAGCTATAAAAAGTCACCTAATTATGCAAGAGCACAGACAACACTGACCTACTCTTACTTTTTTGCTCACTCTGAACAACCTCATCTATTAACTATCAAAAGTAACAATTATCATGGCACCATAAAATGTAAGATTTCGGATGAATATATTACATAATGGTGCCTCGAAAACCCTTGTTAACAATTGCATTTCTAAAGTTTCAATGCCAAATTTTGACAGTTAACTCGAAACACTGTTTCAGACACCACAAATACAATCACAACTATGTGAATAATTGCCCCTTCTGAATAGATCACAAAAAACCTTTTTACCTCACCCAAAATAATGTTGACCACGAATAGCTGAAGCAGCAGAGTAAAGCGTCAAGTACCTGTATTGTAGTGATGATAATTTTTATAAACGCAAAATAAACATTTCTGTAGAATGAAAATCACTTGAAAGAAAATGATTCAGTTTTTTTAAACGATTCAGCTTACCGTAATATATTTAGCCAATTCATCAGCATAAGATTTCCGAGGACTATGAGGATGACAGTTACTTACAATCCAAGCAACTGCTTTATCTTTTCCTGCAGCCACATTTTCTAGTCGACTGAGTTTAGTGTTGTTGCCTTTATCTTTATTGGCTGAAGGATTTGGCGTATACATTCCATAAGGAGTGCGAATAGTGGAGTCGAATCTGTAAGTTGCAGTAAAGTTTATCTACAAAATATAAATTTAATGTGAAAATAAAAATGTCAATGCTGTGATAAACCGCTGATACTGTACACAGCTGAATTTCGAGAGATGTGTATAAACAAAGCTGTGTAATGCAACCGATATGTCCCCTGAAGATACTTTATTACTGAATTGCATTTAAGTTTAGATAACTAAGGAAGACCAGTAAACCAAAGAAGTGGGATGATAATAATGTATACCTTGATATCAAAACAAAGTTTACCAAGGAAGATTTAATGTAATAATAAACGGTAATGGAACAGTTTGTTATTTTGGCCTTCAATGTAGCCCTTTAACCCTACCTGTATCTATCTTTTCACCCTGTGACTCTATGTTACTTCACGCTTGACCAGGGATTGATATCAGTTAGGGAATAGTTGAATACCAGGGGGTACTGGACAAATGCTTTGCTCTAGTTTGGGGCTCATTGATAGTACGTTCTGACTGGAGTTCGAACCCCGGGCCTTCGAACTACAAGGAGAACTCGTAAATCATTCAACCACTGGGACATGATTCATGTAAATTCATAAATGTGTGGTCAGACTGCTTGTAATGATCTCTTGATCTAATGTGCATACTCCGTGTTGTGGAAAGACATTACGCGGATTAGATAAATTACGTCTCACCACTATTTTGGCGAAATTTATGGAGGAAACTAATTGTTTCAAATCATCCTTAGTATCACAAGTCACTCCATTTCCCACCACTGTTATTAGTGGAATTATTATTAATAATGAATACCTGCACAGTTTTATGCATAGTTATCATCCTAATGACAAATCACCATGATTGGTTTGTATTTAATATTTATTTATAAAGTTATGTATATTAGAGTGAGGCTTGGTGAGATCAAACTGAAAACAACATCATTTGGTGGAATACAGGATGCACATTTCTCCGTATTTAAGACTCATCAGCTGAGTGCACCTCCAATCCCTAGTGAGTGATGGTGCTCCCAAATGCTAAAGCGTCATCTACTGGACCGGTGAGAAAATCGCCACTCTCTGGGGATTGCAGATACATTCAGCTGACGAGCCTTAAATAGAGGGAAACGTACCTCCTTGATGATCCCACTGCTAGTTGCTCTCCACAGAATAGCGACATGTTAGTTCTGAGACACTGTCGAAGCGTCTGAACCAGGAGCCAAAATAGGTGTCAGCAGAGGCTGAACAGTTCCATCCAATCAATCAACGAGAAGCATGAAGTGGACTCAAACAGACGGCAACAATATTGTCCATGTTTTACACGTGTTGTTCTAACACCTCTACTATAAGAATCTTTGACAGTTTAAATTCGTCATTTAAAAGATGTAAATTGGTAGTATTTCTACCCAGGTATAATCTTACTTTCAAAATAAACTCACTTTATCATTAAGGTCATAGCTTAATCGACTGTGTATTGGCGATTCATAGTCGTAGGCTACCCAAGCCTGGTGTTCTGGACGTTTTCCACGAGGAAATACTCTGTTTGGAATTAGAATAAGGCTGGCGTTAGTCCACAAAATTGAATTAGTGTGTATGAGACAATTATTCACCGCACAATTTCTCACATCTTTATTAATGCTCGCCAACATTTCACCGTATATAACAATATTATGCATCTACAAAGAAAAAAATCGTACACGCGTAGGTTAGTGTATATCTACTTACTATATGCAGAAAAAATTGTATCGAATAGAAAATATTTACTGACAGGTGAGAAAATATGGGTCATGAATTCAGTGTGTACAGAAATAAGTGTTGGATTGAAATTAGCGCATTCACTGCAAGATTCAAAAATACAACAATTTTGATCTGTTGGCGCGGAATTCTATATAGAAACTAGTCGACCTAATTCTGGTAAAATGAATTATATATATATATTTAAAGTAAACAAAAAGCAAAACAAACGTATTCAGTAGAATACAGTATTTTGAAGTGCTTCCAAATAGTAAATGGAGCATTAAAATGATCAACTTAACGAGGTGTATATGAAGATCTACACCTCAGTGTGTATACATGGATATTGACTTTGTTTAAGTGCGTCAGATGGGTAGATATCAGTGTGTCAGGTAACTTAAATACGAAATTAAAAACAATAAACAAGTTAAATATATATTTTTTAATGTAAGTCGAAGAAAACGAATTTGTCACTCTCTGCCAAATGGACTCTAAATCGTGTTCATAAGAATAATTTCAAAATTTGCTTGTTGGAAGGCGGTAACTAGTGAAAATACACAAAATCACCGTTTACTCGACATGATATATTTACTCATTTCAGAGAAAATTTATGCAAGTCACAGCGGTATCATCAGTTGTACTACGTTTTCCAAATGATGTCTCCTCGAGCGAATAAAATCGTATGAATTGTATTTCAGTAACTTGAATATATATTCCCATAATCTATTCATAACAAAAATATTTTGCTTACATTATAATTGGATTCATAATTCTAGAGCCTGAAGAAGAATTTATTGAAATCACAGTTGTGAATAGATTATATTTCAATGAGAAATATTAAGTTTGTCAGAGTATAAAATAATTATCATAAGAATTGTTTCACTTTTTTGGGAGCACTCCTCGAATTCTGGCTAAATATATCCCTGATAATGTGACCGATATACACCAGTATGCCTGAAATGTACAGACTCACATTCTCCGACTGGGATGGTTTAATAGCGAAGCTTTCATTGATCTAGACAACAATTTCACGCATACATTGTAACCTGTCGTACAACAGGCTCTCAGGTGCAATCATAGGTCGACAGACACCCTTCTTATGTTATCTCTAACTGTGTGTATACAAGGTTATACGCTTTTTTGGAAGAACAGAAAGAAGGGTAAACATTTGATTTTCTGAACATGTACCAAAAAAAAGCAACGTTTCAAGGGAACAAACACCTTCCATAGTGCCATTGACAGATGTTTTGTTGATACGGATCGTTAGGTTATCGAAAGACAAAATATTTGAATTCTCCTCAAGTTTGCCGAAGCAGTCGCTATCAAACGCCGAAAAAATTAAATTTATATGTTTAGAAATAAGCAGGTATCCGTCTGCCGTTGCCATGGTGACTGAATGCATTTACTCTGTCTCTGTCTCTCTTTTCTATTTGTTTACGTAATCTTTGACTTCAACTTTTATCCCCTGGCTGCAATGTTATTTTGCTTGTCTTTTTATTTCTTGATTTGAGTTGAACTCACTTTATTAGTTACTTGCCATCTCGTCCATCTTTTGTCTTTATTCCACAAATCCGTTGCTAATATTTCTAAGCTATTTTATTTTTTTACTTAAACTTGAACCTCGTGTGGATAAGCGCTATGTAAAAGTGTAATTTCTGAGCATCGTTTGTAAAAATTTGTAGTCTCTTGTCAACTAAGATCACATCACATTTGTATGTTGAACATTTTCTGTAAATCAACTAAGTAATTCCTTTAGACTTTATGCAGCTGATGAGAAGCCGATGAAATAAACGATGGTACCATCCTATTCTGCACAAACTTTTCTTTGTCGCTTTTACCACATAGAAAAACTACACACTCTGGAAGATTCCTTGATTATCACTCAGCTCATCCACTCACGGTAAAAAAGGGTTAATACAAGGTCTTGCAGAGAGAATACGGCGACTTACAACAACACCAGAAGACCAGCAGAAAGATTTAAACGTCCTATTCAAAATGTTACTCGACAACAACTACCCAAAAGAATTTATCAGAGATAACATAAAGAAGAGAAAAAAGAGGTCAAAACCGGAGAATGACAAGACGGAGGAAGCCAAAAAACAGTCACAATACCATACAAAAATAGTACATCAGAGGCAATTCGAAGAAACCTGAAAAATATTGTGATTCGCACAACGTTTAAACCAACGAATCAAATTAAAAATAAAATAAATCAACTGAAATATCCCAGAAAAATAATGGATAAAAACAATGTAATTTACAAAATATCTTGTGCTGACTGTCCAACTAAATATGGTGGGCCAAACGTCCAGACCACTCAAAATTACAGTGAATGAACATAAACGCCTAACTTAACGCCATCCCACAGGAACACAAGGTTACAATAATTTAGAAAACAAATTCATCTATAGCTGCACATGCATTGAACAAAAACCACAATATTGATTGGAACAATGTTTGTATTGTGAAATGCAATAGGAAAATATGGAAAGAGAGACTAATAACATAACGTATATTCATTAGGTCTCACTGGATACATGTAACAAGGTTGACTCAGTACAACTATCAACAACTTGGAATATAATTCTCAATACACGAAAATGAATGAACAAAAAAATGAACTGTATATATAAGTACAAATCATAAATGTGTGAATTAAAAACAAAACAATTCCAACAGTGGTGCGAACATGGGCAGTAATTTTGCTCGAAATATTAACAATAACAAAAGCTTATCATTGTGTGTAAACCATTGAAATATAATTATACTTTATTTGATCTAATCCACAATGCTCAAACCTTTTATACATAAGCTACAACTGTGTAGTGTAATATCATGTTTGCAATGTGTTTTAGTTCATTTTTCAACAATTATGCGACTCTGACTGGTTGTTCAGAGTCACTGTGGTTTTGACTGTGGTAGTTTGACTTTGCCGTGGATCCTATTATTCTTGTGCATAATATAATAATAATAATTTGCTTTATTCCAGACACAGTACTAGTGGTACAGTGTGGAATTTTCAGCACATATCTACAATATTTGCATCTAATGTTACAAACATTTAAAAGGAGTATTTAACAAAAAAATAAATCTAAAGACACCAACAGCAAAAGAAAAAAAAACAGGAAAAATACAAAAATAATTATAAATGCGAAAAAATACCAAGAAGTAGAAAGGAAAATAAACATCATATAATAATATCTCAGTATTGGGTAGTGGAAGCTATGATATGATTATGCATGGTGACAGTAAAGCTGTAGTTCATACAAGAAGTTATGAAATGATATTTAATAATGTTTATCACCAAGAAGATCAGTTAATTTGATTGAACAACACTAAACAATCATAAAATAACATTTCAGGGTTGTCGTTTTTTTTTTTTTTATTGTCAGGTCTAATGTAGTGTTTCTAGTGGTAGTGTGAGTAATCCTGAATAATACAAAAATTTTTAAGGTGGTGACTATGGCGTTCACAACCAATGATTGTCAGTTTAATATTGCCGAAAAGTATAGAAAATAAGAAAACAACAACCACAAAACTCATAATTGCATGATGGTTAGTGACAGGACAATTTTGTAATACTCATAGTGCTAATATAGTCGGAACCAGTGGATACACAATAGAAGGTATATAGTAAAGTGCAGAAAGTAAGCCAATGTTAATAATTTAGGTAGCTAAGTAAGTTTGAGGAGTTCACTAAAGAATACAAAATAAGAGAGAAATAGAAGAGCCTAAATTATGTTGTTAACAACAAAGCAAGTCATAGGTTTCGCGCTTAACAATGTCTCTGTCACTTAGAACACGGGCCAAGTATGGTATCGTTGAGTTCCTGTACTTGGTTGTACGAGCATAGATTATTTTATACTGATTTCTGGTTCTACCTGATGAGATACAAGGCGAGAGTTGGGAATAGAGGGGGTGTTGGGGGTCGGAGAGTATGGTTTTTGACTATTTTTTGCATGTATTCAGATGCCTTTGAACTAATGTAGTGACGAGCTGACTGAGTTTTACGCCACTAGTCCTACTAACTACCTTCAACATCCTTCTCAGGATGGTATAGTCCTTTTTCAGTAGCCCAGGAAAGACTAACGGGGAGCAGTAAAGTAGAATAGGTAAGATACAAGAAAAAAAAGTCCAGGCGGCCTGTTTGACATCTGGGCTACCTTTCTGTACATCTACATATTTGCATCTAATATCAAAAATAGGCTCAATAAAAATGCAAGTTTCAAATAATAAATCAATAGACAAAACAGCCCAAACTAACTTTAGTTTTGTTTAGCTGAACACGTCCACTAATAACATCTCTAAAGAATTATATGATTATATTTGTAATAATAAACAAATATCTCACGTTTTGAAGGTTTGAAAGTCCGGATAGTAAATAAATGTTTCATTAAAATCCCAGAGTGATGAATTTTCATACATAGAAATATACTGTCCAATGTCATTTAAGGTGAAACCTTTTATATGCCATATACTAAGAATAACGATCACGGCTGCTACTAGGGCAACTATTTCAAATCGAATCTTGGCATTTTGAATAGAATTTTTAAAAATCTCCATGAATAACTAAAGTTAAAATGATTGTACTATTTCATCTTGAGTATCTTCTAGATATGCGCGACAATAGACTGGCTCAGAAATCTACCAATCAGAATTCAAATCATATGATTATTGACAATTAGTTAGTTAAACAAACATCCAATCAGATTTCTTCACTTTGTATTGACGCCCACTACTTAGCCTATGTTGATCATACAACTAATTTCCGTTAAAGTTTATGATTATCATCGTTATATGTAATTACCGTTCACTTGCTAACTTTGGAATGCATATTTGACTGTCATTAAAATCTACTTGGAGAACTTTAGTTTTAACCGGCAAATATTAATCGCTTTTATCAGTTTAGTGCATTTACGGTAAATTTTATGATATTTTAAACAAAATAATTAACTAGGGAGAGTTTTTTTTATTTAGATTTAAAGATGTCTGACCTCATACAAAACACACATGAGTAATCTTATCCGAATAAATTCTCTGTGCTAAAGTCATTCAGTGAAATAAAGATACAAAGAAGGAACTAGAAATAAAAACTAATTTCTTCATTTATCTGAAGCTGTTTTTCGAAAGTGAGAATTAACCAACCGAAATTAACTTGTGTACTGATTGGACACTGGTAACTAGTGTGATGTGTCTAGTCCTTTGTTTGGCGCAGACTGAATTCTATCGGTCAGGTTTGCGATGTGGCCACCATTCTAGGTAGCTCGCCATGAAGGCTGCAGTTACGCCTTGCTGACGAGTGACAACTAGCACGAAACCTAGGTCCCAGGTCTCCTGCCGATTGCCTCCATCCAAATAATATCATCTAACTTGTGTTCTGTTTCTAGGAGAAAACAGATGTCACATTTACTGCAGTCTCTTTGTGCTGGTATATTTTCAAACAGCATATTTTATTAAATATCTTAGGAACTATTCATTTATTTTGATGTTAAATAACAATTGTATATCCAGTAACTGTCATTGGTTTCTCCCCTTTATTAACTCTCATTAAAGGTGCTTGAGTTAAGATGATGAAGGTAGAGAAGTGTTTGGCCATTGGTTTCTGTTTAAGATTTAAATGTATGATATTATTCTTAGTATTCTGTTGGGTTCGACATAGTACAAATGGCTTCAGCAGTACACCTCCATATCACCTTGTTCTCTAAAGTGCTGTTTAGCTGCCAATCAGCTCTCATCTCTTTCTCACATGATCACCTCAATGCCACCCTTGGGCACATGCCTAACTCATCGTTTTCCATTCTGGTTCCACTCAAGCGATATCACTCAACGGTCTCCTCAGTGTTTGTCTAACGTGTCTCCATTTCCGTCTGCATATTAGTTGGAAATGGGTTCTTGATTGGTGGCTGTCCACTGTTCCTTCCTACTAAGCCTTTCTGGTCAGACATCTGACCTTCACTATGAAGCGAAGGTAACTGCTGGTGAAAGACTTCAGAGTGTTTGAAATGTCATTCATGCAGCGACAAGTCTAAATATGACTAACGAATATATATATTTTTGATCTTAAGCTGGCAGTACAGATCGTTGGTCAGCTTTTCAGCCACCAACAGCAACAAAAACAGACAACAATCAGCATAAATGGGAGGAACCTGAAGGAAACAACCTCTTTTACCTACCAACATGGGAAGCATCGTTTCAACTACAGGCGGATGGAACTGACGAGGATATCACAGCAAGATCCAGATTTTCAACTCCAATGTGAAGTCAGTGCTACTCAATATACGGATCAGAGACTTGGCCAGCGCGTAATAAAGAGCATCTCGAACAAACTACAGACCTTCACTAACAGTTATCTTCGCTCAACACCACTCAAGATCAGATGGCCGGCCAGAAAAGATCAGCAACAGAGTTGGATCTCTGGGAGCGAACCAACCCAGCAACCGATTGTGAAACAAATATGCAGGAAGAAATGGAGATGGATTGGCTATACTCTGAGGAAACCATCAAGTGACATCACACACCAGGCCATCGCTCGAGTAGAACCCGAAAGGGAAGCGGCGAGTTGGTCGTCAGTGCAAGGGTGACTTGGAGGAGGTGATGTGAAGAGGCGATGAAAACGTGTCGGCAGACTTGGAGCCAGGTATAAACGTTAGCAGAGAACCGAACGCAATGGAGACGCACGGCTGAAGCCCTATGAACCCCTAGGAATTAAAGGAAATAATAATATGCTACATGTATCTGATAATAGTTAAGGCTTTGTCTGCATTTCATCATAGGATAATTTTGTCTGATGAAAGCACACATGATACAGTATTATTTACTGCACATCAATGCATGTTTAACTATCTTTGAAAAATAAGTGGGAAATGTGAATAATCAGTAGGAACACTAAAAGCATATGAAAGTGTGCTTAGAAAATCTGAAGAATAAAATCCACATACTTTACTTCATTGAGAAAAATGTCTAACAAGTCTTTTATTAGAAAAACATTAATAGGTAATTGCTTAAAATTGACTTGATGTTAGAATTTTCCACTGATGTCTTCTTTTTCTAGGAAAATGTGAATAACATGGTCATTTCATCAAGGAACTGCAACAATATTTTCTACAAGTGAAAACGGATGATGCGAATTGTATTCATAGCTAGATTGTTTGGAACTAAGCTAAAGGTTTTTTATGCAACAAATATTTGTAATAACTAACTACAACCTTCAGGCTTGAATGCGATGAGGAGGATTTCCTTTGTCGACAAAGTTACCTTCAAAGGTTGTACAACTGTATTTGTATTACCAAAAGACGTATAGTTTATAATTAAGTGATAAGGGGGGGTTATGTAATAGGTGCAGTTTCCAAAGATAGGGAAATTACTCTATCGTCAGTAGTAAATGCAAATTTACAGGCTTTGAAGAAGGCTTTGTCGATGAAACAATTTTTCTTCGCTGAATCATCTTTTATTCTCCTTATGAATCGAAGGGTATATTCCATGTTTTATGCTGAAATTAAGTGCTGGAAAAATTATTTACTTATTATCAGTGGGATACCTTACGGTGATAATTCTGCGAAAGTGGGACAGGCATCATCAAATCACACATATTTCAGGATATTTGCACAGTGACAGTCGTCCTTTGATTCTCTTGGGTTCTGAGTGGGATGTAGGAACATACATCTCCATCTCAACCTGTTGTGCGTTGGTTCCACGAATGCCCATTACCTTCCATTTCATTCTTACACTATCTACTGCATGTCGACCTTAGACGACCAACTCATCGTTTCCCGTTTGCGTTCCTTCGAACTGAAACCGATTTTTAGAAAATCCTCTTGGCTGTATTAAGTTGACTCTAATAAATCTTTCCTTCTAAAACATAATTCTCTTGGAAAAATTCAAAATTACGTAAATATACGAAGAATTATTGGCAAAGACATTTGATATGGGAGTGTGTAGGGATCAGGACTTTATGAATGTTTCGCACCACACTATGTATTACTGACTGATTGCTTTTAGTAGCTGGATACCACTCATACCAACCGGTAGGGCTTGCTTGTCAGATCCAAGTGATATGAACGCCAAATGGCCGTTCCACTCGTTTGGTGTGCCCAGTTCGACTCAGCTCCGAGAACCGCATTAGTTCAAGCCACCTCGAACTAGGTGACTTGCGAACTAATTTGCACATTCAGAATTTGATCAATGCTCAGTATCACCTGCAGTACCAAGTGTCTATATGCTCTTTGGTCAGCTGATTATTAATCTAAGCTGCAAAATCAAAAACAGTTCTTAAAGGTAAACAAAAATTTATCAAAATACGATCTATGGATTTTTAATCACTCAATGGCGTATGAACATAATACTTCGGAGAAAATAAAGCGAAGGATTTATCACCGACCATGACCATGTGATATGATAATTATATATATTTTGTGTGTGTCTATGCTTGCTTGCACGCATTTCTTCAATTTAAATAGTAAAGTGGCTTTTTCAGTGATTTTCATTCAAACTGAAGGTTAACAATATAATTTTTAAAAACCTGCTGTGATTATTATACTTTGTTCATGAGAAACAAAGTCTATATTTGCAAACATCCCTCACTGAAACGTACACACGAGGGGTCTATGTGTTGTTATTATTATTATTGTTGTTGTTATCATGATAGTTTAGGCAATAAACTATTGTAGAGAATAGTTGTGAAAAACATATTTTGTAAAAGTTTCATTCAAACAGAATTATTCAATGTATCTGCGGGAGCAGTTACATTGGAAGAACAGAAAGAAGAGCATATCTACGATTTTCTGAACATGTACCAAAAAGCTTATGTATTCAGGGAACAAATGCTTTAAACAGTGCCATCGCCAGGCATCTCCTTGACACGGGTCATGAGGGGGACGTAGAAAAATCGTTCACAATTATCAATAGGGAAAAGAGCTCAATTCTCCTTAAGTTTGCTGAAGCCATTTCCATCAAGCGCCTAAAACCTGATTTGTGCGTTCAGAAAGAATCGGTTAACAGTCTTTCTTTGCCCTGGTAACTGCATATTTTTCATCCGAATGCGAGATACTGAAAAGTTTTCATTGTGTATGATTATTATTGCTCGGAATTGTGTTTAATATTGCATATATATATATATATTATTAGTGTATGTGTATATTGTTCGATTGATTTCTGTTTAAAATGAACTCTGTTCAAGTATGTTAAATTGTTTTTATAGATACATTTAATAATGTTTTTGCCCTGTAAGCAGCTGACGAGAAGGCGACGAAATAAAAGATGGTACCATTTTATTCTGCTAAAACTGTAGTTGTTCTAATTCATTAAGGGGAATAAATGTATGAAATTATCCAAAGTGTTAGTCGAGAATCATTGACCAAGTGATTAGCAGCAATACGGCTTAAACAAAAAGGAATGATATATATGGGGTGATAAATACCAAAATACTGTATTTCACTTTACTGCAGAGGACGCGGTCAAGTCATTCACCATTGTCAGCAGACAAAAAAACAAGAAGGTGCTTGCAATTGCAGAGGCTTGTGCAATTCGAGTTTACAAACCAGGTCTCTGTGTACAAAAGGAGATGGTCGTGACTCTGAATCTACCATGGTAATACGTTTTACTTATAATTCTACCTCTTATTATTATTTTTATTATTATTATTATTCTCATTATTATTATTATTTTTATTACTATTATTCTCATTATTATTATTCTTGATTCATTTAAAACTATC